TGCCACCTGAGAGCCAGCATGGACAGGACCTGGGCTTGGCTCCAAGCAACATGAGGCCAGGGTCCAGCTCTGCTCTGCTCACCGTGCTGACCGCAGCACCTGACAAAGGGCCTGATGTAGACCCTAATAAAGCACTTGGCTCATTCATGAAAGAGCAGTCAGAGGAAGGAGACCCTAGTGAAGTTGTCTAAGACGTAGTCGGGGCGGAGGGGGAGGGAGACAAGAGAGCTGAGCATTATGGGAGCCAGAGGGCTGGGTCGTGAAGACAAGGTTAGATTAGAACTCAGGATCTCTTCACAGGTTCCTCATGAAGCGTGAAGTCATGTCATTTCCCATGGTGCCTGTTAGGGTGATGAACAGTTCTGAGTTCCCTTTGTTTAAAAATATCTATGACACATCCAGTTTGAGAAATCTCCACTCTTCCTCCTAGATTGTTCTAATTATGTTTGTTAGACCGCAGTTCCAGGTACACCACTGTGTTACTGGGCACTGACTAAATTTTACTGTCCGTGCTTGAGTCTCTGGGAAGGACCTCTCAATATTGGTTTGAGTCAGAAGACAATTGTTGAGACATTAGCCATGTCTAAATACAGTAGTTAGAATAATTTCCTAACATATATTTCTTAATACTCAGGCTATGTATTATCTTACTAACAAAGCTGACTTATGACTTTCATATGAATAAGATATTTCCAGTTTTTCACAGTCATTTCTTTCTTTTTTTGTTTGAGAACCTGCACTGCATTTAGCAAAGTCACATTTAAGGGCGTGTAGGGTAAAATTAAGTTGAATAGAAATGTGCCGTTGATCAGCAGAGCTCCAGCATTGCACTTGGAGTCCCTGTTTTACCAGCAAGTCGTTTGACTTCTCCGAGCCTCAGTGTCTTCATCTGTGAAATGGAAGTAACATCTCACAGAATTCAGGATTAAAGAAATGTTGGGGAATTCCAGCCTATGTCTGGACCAGCACATTTCTTGGCAGCACAGAAGCAAACCACTTAGGAGAAAGCTCTTTTTCAACGACAGGAAGCTAAGCAAATAGCAGTAAGGCTATTAGGGCCGAGACTGCTAGCGTTGTTATTACTTACTTCCCTACGTAGTGACACATGATTTCAAACTCAGAGGGTGTAGGGTACAGCTACTCTCTGTTTAGGTATGATAGGAATCCATCCCACTCAGCTTTCCAGAGGTTAGCTATAGACCTTCTTTCTAGAACTTTCTAGGGCTGGATTGGACCCTGGAATTCTTGGGACCCAGATCCAAGAGCTCATATGACTCAGAATCTTGTACTTTTGAGTTGATGCCGAAGCCAAGGTTCCCCACAGCTTTCTGGGACCTCTAAGACCCGGGTTCCCTTTGTTCAGCCGACACTTCCATGCTTGCCTGCTGCTGGGATGAAATGCTCTGCCCTGTCAGTGACCCAAGTGCAGGACCCAGCCTCTGCTTGGAGGCCTCTAGCTCTGACTCCTACAGGGCAATGACTCGAGTGCTTAAGGTTGGGTATTGCCACACCTGTCTTGCTCACCAGGATGTTGTGGGGATTAACATGAAATCACTAATGCTTTTATGGAGTGCTGTTATCTTAGAGGGGGCGTGCCCTGATTCACTACCGTGTCATTATGGCCACCTCTTACCCTTCAAAACTTGTGTTGGTGTGTATTTGAGATCAGGTGAGAAACAAGGTTCTCCCCGCAGCTCCTGCATGAACCCTTCCTCCAAGAAGCCTTCCCTGAACCCTCATGGATACGGGGCAAAATGCCCCCATGGGCTCGACGCCATGTCCCACCCACCAGCATTGTCCGTGGGGTTGGCCCTTGTCCACAAGCATCTTGGGAGGAGAAGCCGTGGACTAGAGCGGGAAGCACGCATTGTAGGACCTCAGTGAATTCCTGGACCCGTGTCACACGTTATCCTACCTATTTCTCACAAAAGCCTATGCTCTACCTTCATCTTTATAGAGGAAGAAACTGAGGCACAGGAATTACTTAAGTCACTTGCCCAGAGTGTCACAGCCAGGGGACATGAGCTAGGTCTTTTTCACTCGAGCCCGTATTTGTGTCATCAGGCCATCCAGCTCCCCGTAGAAGGACTTTTTGGCTAATGCCTCTCTCCCCAGAATCTGTCCCCTAATTGAGCTCAGACGTCTTTGTTTGACACAGGTCACCCTGGGCTTCGTCCCTCTGAGATGAATGTGCCTGCAGCTGAGTGGGGTGGTTAATCCCAGCAGACATTCTCAGAATGCTCTCATTTACTGACTAAAACCACTGATGTCATCAGGAAGTCCTCCCCACCTCGCTTTCCACTTCCCTATGCACTGCTTATTCACTGTCTGGCCTTCGGGGCTAAGGCCTGTGTTCTGTGCAGTGGGGAGAGACCGAGGCCCAGCTGGCCGGCAGGCAGGCACCGTGGATGTCCATGGGCTGAGAAACCTTCAGTGAGGTTCAGCCCAGCCACCTACTTTGAGTCGTATTTGCATGACCCAGAAGTTAGAGTGATGAAAAATGCCTTTTCTGCGGTCATGAAAGCGTCCATTGCCTTTGGATATTCTCAGCAATTTACTTTCATACTTAAAGAAATAATTCACTTGGAGGAATCAGGGTGTTTGAAACTAGTGTAAGCAAGACATTTCTCAAATGCCTCCATTCCTTACCCTAACCCAAAACCACGTCATCAGAGTGGTGCACAGCTGGGCCAGGTCGTCACTCATATCATTGCCTTTCTAGAACCACGTTTTAACACCATCTCGGGCACATTTTAGTATTTTAAAAAGAAATATTGTTAGCAAGCATATTATTCATTACAGTGATTGATGTCCCTCTAATATGAAGTCTCCTTGACCCAGAGATCAGGACCGAGAGAGTTCCTCTCGCATGTTGAACTGCTGGGCTTCCTACTACTGGACAAATGAGCGCTCCCGTGACCCACTTCCTGTCCCTTCCAGTTTATGTATTGCGTCTCGTGTTGGTTATTTTTGACCTTGTTTTGTATTTTTTATTTTTGACCTAATTATACCTGTGCTGTTTGGAGCGTTGTCTCGGATCACTGGGCCGAGCTTTGTGTGCACAGGAACCTATATTTGTATCTCACAGTTGGGTGCCCAGGACCTAGCTAGCACAGATCCACTCACACAGAAGGGTCAAATGCACGTGTGAGTGTGTGCATGTGTGTAATGGAGGTATGCAAAATAGAGAGAGATCACCCACTTTAAAGTGTATTAGAAGAACGGTGATTGGGGAACAAATGACTCATAAAGGAAACCAACAATACTGAGCAGTGTGTTGCCTGTAGCCCCATGAAATGAGGATTCTCCCCCATTTTAACTTGGAGGGACAGGACCTCAGAAAGGTAAGGTGGGCTGTCTGTGGTCTCATAACTAGCAAGTAGGCAGTAGAGACAGAATTGAGACCTAGGTCAGCTTGACTCCAAACATTGGACGTTCTACGCTGCCAAAAATCTGGTTCATGTTGAGAAGAAATCAGGTGACTTCATCCAACCCTCTGCCTTCGGGGAGACCACATCTAAACAGCCATGGCTGTAAGTCCCCCCTCTCCCCCCATGTGGATGACTAATGTCCTCAGCCACAGCTGAAGTCCCCATCAGCCCACTCAGGCTCCACTGAGAGGACTGATGGGTATTTCAGAGAAAACATAGACCGATCGGGACTCCTGATTCCTTCCCCAGCCTGGTTTCCAGTTGTTCCCCTTAGAGATAAGGGTACCGCCAGTCACCCATCAGCTCAGGCCAAGCTCTGAATAAAGCCCTTCTCTTTCCTTTACACTCCATGTCCCATCCATCGGCAAGTCCTGGACGTGCTGCTTTCGCTTCTGTCCTGAAGCCGATCGCTGCTCCCACCCTCATGCCGGCTGGGCTGCAGTCTCTCTCCTGAACTGAGGCAGGATCCCGCCCCCCTATTTTCCCTGTTTCCACTCTACCCATGTTCTCCACTAACTAGCCAGAGCCACGTTTCCGAAATGTAAACCAAACCACACCCCTCCCCTCTCTCAAGTACTGCAGTGTTTTCTCTTCATTTTATTTAGAAGAAAACCCAAAGTCTCACTGGCCCTCTGACCTGGTCTCCAAGCGCCCTGGGCGTGACAGCCACCTTGACCTTGCTCTTCCTGCAGACCTGCAAGCCACACCCAACACTTGTTTCTGCGAGGCTTTCCCTGACCCCAGCTCGAAAAGCCTCGGCCCACCCTCGCCCCCTCGTCCCTGCTTCCTCACCTTCGTAGCACTTAACGCAAAATGAACTTACCGTGCGCATGTCTGGTGCATCTGTCTCCTGTGCCCGCAGCACTGGACAGGGCGTGGCTCAGGTGGGCACCGCTGCGAATAAGTGAATGCCTGTACGTGTACGTCAGTCCTGATTTTTTCAGCGGGCTTCTTTGTTGGGAAAGCGTGTATGTGAGAGCAGCTTATGGGCGGGCATTAAAGCTAAGCGGCCTGACTTGCCTTTCTTACCCCTCGCAGCTGCCCAAAGATCGGCTGCAGCCACACCAACGTGAGAATGTCCGATCTCATCCAGGATGAAGCCCTCAGGAGGGCGATTGAGAGCCACAACAAGAGGAAGCACCATCCCTCCGAGTAGGACAAAGCCGCCTGCCCGCGGGGGGCCTGCGCAGCCTACCTCCTGCCCCGGCCGCCTGGCCTGCCGAGAGCGGTGCTTCTCCGAGCACGGACGGGCTGCCCAGCTTACTTTGTGTGGGGTAAAACTTGAAGGTCTTAAGTGTAATTGAAAGCATGTTTTTCTATGTTCCAATAAAAATTCAAGGAAATTATATTGTTTATTTTTAGGTATTCCGTAATTTTAAATAAAAGTTTGATTATCTACAGTGTGTTCAGTCTGTGCCCCTCCCAAGGTGTAAACCCTTCCAATGGTGCAGGCGAGGTGGCACCAGGCCTTTCTGTTTCTAATACTTCAGACTGGTTTATTATTATTATTATTATTATTATTATTATTATTATTATTATAGTTTTAACTAAATATGATGCCTTTCAAGGGATATGTGACATGGAAACACATGGAAGCACCAAATTGAAGGATTTCCTGTCAGTATAGAAAGGACGAGCATGAGGTCATCAAGCAACACTAGCTCGCTTACCTACATGCACTTGGTCTATCGGCCATGCCACATGTATAGACACTTTGCTCTGTCATTCGGACAGGCACAGAATTCCCCGGCCGCATACTGTGGTAGTCGATACCGTGACAGCTGACGCCCATAGTGGAAACTTTGCTGCAGCCCCCAGAGCCTGTGTCATCCGCGGGAAGCCACCCTGTTCGCCACCTTGCGTGGTGGCTCTCTGCAAGTGGCGTCATCGCCCTTGGCCTTGGGTCTTCAGCCCTGAAAGAAAGCTGTTGATCCTGATGTTCTTAAATGCCCCGTTAGCCCCGAAAGTCTGTGGTCTTAAGACCAGCAGGGTCTTTAAATTGAATATCCTTGATTATATTCTAATTGTGTAAAGAGTGCTAATCTATTAATAGTCTCTATAGCAACCTTTTATCAGCTAGAATATTTAATGAAACCAGATGAAGCATATCCTGACTACATTAGGAAACCAAGAATAGCTAATAATGGCTAACATTTATTGAGCCCTTACTGTATACCAGGTGTTATTCCAAATGCTTTACATATATATTAACTCCTGTTATCGTAATAGCCCGATAAGAGAGTTACTGTTATTATTCCATTTTACAGATAAGTAAAACGAGACACAGATGTGAAGGAACCCATGGAAATTAATAGAGCTAGAGAGAAGCAGAGCTGGGACGGGCAGTTAGGTTGTCTGGTGTCAGCGTCTCGATTCTTAACCCCACGCTCTCCTCCTCCCTGTTGATTTCTTTAGAATCTAAGAATATACTCAAAGTCCACATTTAAAATCTGAGCCTTTTGTAAATACACGTGTATTGTGTGTGTGTGTGTGTGTGTGTGTGTGTGTGTGCGCGCGCAAAAAAAGTTCATTAAAATGCAGGGAACAACTGGATATGACATCTAAGAGGCAGCAATGCCCATGAGGTAATAACATATATTTGGGTTTAAAAGCATTGTTTTAAAACAGCAGAATTAATTTTTAAGACATTTTCATGGAATTCAGGAAGTAGTATGCCATTCCGTTGCTACAAACTAAGTGATTTTGAATCTCTTAAGATGCTTTATCTGAATCAGACTTCCTGAGGAAATGATTATGTTTAAGCCAGAACAAACATACTTTTCATGGAATGTGCTTCTTTTGTGAAATACTTTGTTTCCTAAACAGATAGAGATGAGCATGAAATGTTTGCCCAAGGTTCAGAGTTGCATTTCTCCCCACTCTTTCCCAAGAGAATTCCAAGATATTAGCATAGATACCAATATCAGTTAGAAAAATGCAAAATGACACCATTCTACTGTGGAAAGGGGAGAGCATGTGTGTCCTGTGAAGGTTTTGCCTTCTTTAGTCTTCAAAAACTATGTTTTGAATATTTGTGTAACCAATTAAAGAATTTGAAGTTTTATGTAAAATTGATTTGCATCTTTGACGGCTCACTATTTGGGTGTCATGATCAATCTTGGCACGTGTGTTAAATTCAATTGCATGAGTTTTCCCAAAAAGTGAAACCTTTTCTTCAAATGAAATCATATCTATCTTACTGATAAACCCAGTAACATAAGACAACGGAGAGGGGGGCAGTTCTAGTCCAGAGAAGGTAGGAATTCCATTCCCTCCTTCCTAGGACAGCCCCAGAGTCCTACCTGAGATTATCCACGGCCCCATGAGTGACATTTGAAAACCACACTAGACATTGTAGCTACATCATTTTTTTTCTTTTTCAGATATGACTGATTTTAAGACTTGGACCATTATGTGAACATGACATTTTTTTTTTAATGCTAGTTCCTTTAAGAAACTTCCAGCTGAGTAAGTTTAAAACATCACCACAAACTCCAAAAGATGAGATCATTTATTTCTCACCTTATGCAGAGCTTCAAAAGAGTGTCCAGCCTGAGGCAGCTCCTGCAGCCAGTGCAGCTTTCTGCCCAACGGAAGCCGAATGTGAGGAGAGAGAGAAAGCACAGGGCTGAGAGGAACCCAGGCCACCATGAACTGACATCTAGCTACACACCGGGCTCAGGCCTAAGTGCCTCAAATGTGTCACTGAAGTGAATCCTCCCCACAACCTTAGAAGGCAGTGGTGGTTACTGCCGTTTTACAGATGAGAAACCTAGGCCCAGGGTCATCACTGGTGGGTGGCAGAGCCCACACTGTTAAGGAACAGTGAGTGCAGAGCAAGTGCTCTGGCCCTCTAGGCCCTTTGCCCCAGGACCACAGAGGACACAAATGACCAGCAGACCTGTACTTCTATCTCACCTTCCTTATGTCTGTTACTGAGACCATTTCTCAGGCTTGCAGACCCCCCGTCATCCGTGCATTTAGCATAGCCCAGTGCGTCTCCCTTCCCTCGTTCCTTCTGCAAACACCCCACCAGGTCCAGGCACTTAGACTATTCACCAGGCTTGCAGCTGCTCTCCAACCATTATCCCCCCACCTACCCACTCTCTCGTATTAATCAACTAGAATACTGATCGAGTAATTCCACATCCTACTCAAAAACCTTCCTTTCCTATGGGATGAAGTTCAGGCCTGGCATTCAGCTTTCTACCACAGCCCAACCCCCCGCCACCTCCCCAACACTCCCCTATGTCTCCAACACTCCAGTTCACCCCCTGTCTGTGTGGCAGAGTTTATCCTCTGCAGGAGCTAACCCTCTGTCCTCCTGACTAGCACATACAGATGACCGTGGGCAAGTCACTTTACTGCCCCAGCCTTTAGATTTTTCATATAAATGGAAAGATTTGGACTTCTCCCCAAGGTTTCTTTAAACCCTAAGAATCCATGTTATATTTTCAATGCATAGGACCTGTGGGAAGAATATGGCCCTTTTCAAAGGAAAACAGGCTGACATGGGAATTAGTATATGTTTGAACAAAATGTGTGCATTCCATCTTCAACTATTTATTCGAAAATACTTTTTAAGGCCCACTTTAAGCTGTGTTTTGTGCTAGTTTCTTTGGATGCAAGAACCTCCCCTCTGGAGGCCTTCCTGTCTACAGGGGACAGACAGATAATGTAAAAAAATGAATTCCACAGAAGGTTATATGAGCGCCACGCCTAGGGGACAGTACACAAAAGAAATACAGAAAAATTATCAAGTAAACAAAAATTGTGTTTTAGTAAATCCACTAAGAAGATTCAAAGCAAGTTAATAAAAGGACCGTGAAACCTTCTGATTAGGAGGGGGTTGATCATGCGGGTGGATTGCCCAGCTGTGTTGGCAATTCGTTATGTTTTGGAAACCTGTCTTCTAGCTTGTGTCAAATTTGGTGGAAGGGAGTAACTATTTGGAAAAGATAATTAAAATGGTGGTGGAACAGGAACTCTCAGACGTTGCTTGTGGAAATGAGAATTTCCAGCATGATTTATAATAGCAAATAGGTGCAAACAATCCAAATGTCCAACTGGCGAATGGAGAAACAAAAGCAGTGGACCCATACATACCATGGAACACTCTGGACATAAAAAGGAATGACGTCCTTCTTAACACATACTATAACATGTCTCACCATGATGCATGTATGTGAAATGTCCAGAAAGACAAATCAGTACACTAGAAAGTAGATTAGTGTGGCCTGGGGCTAGAGGTGAGAATGGCGAGTAACTTGCACAAGGGGTCACTTTGGAGCGTAGGAAATGTCCTAAAACCTGATTGTGGTGGAGGTTACACAAGTCTGAATTTACCAAGTCATCGAATCCAACACTTAAAGCAGGTGGGTTGGATCTTCTATGAATGATACGCACAAATAAGCCGAGAGGGGATTGCTTTAGAAGACAAGGAGGGGGGAGCTTTCCATTTGGTCATTTGAGGAGCTCTGGGTGCCCGAAATTCAGCTGGTGACCAAGTTTCTATCAACCTTCTAACAGAAGTTTTGAGCCTTAATCATAAAGATTGGAGTGAAATAATTTTATTCAAGCCTCAAGAAACCCAGGATTAAAAGAAGCCATTACTAAAAAACAATAAACATATAAAACAAACACTGTTTAGGGCTCATGCGAGGATAAGATTAAATGGTAATTGATCACAATAAGAAAATTTTACCTATTTCTATTTTTTAATCTCCCAATTATATTCATTTTTCTATAACTAACAATAATCCATAGTTCTCATTGGCTACTTTTATTTTTTAGAAGTATAATGGAGTGAAAACCCTAGCCAGTTCTTTTCTCTGTTCATCCTGTAATTCAGTCTAAAGATGACAAGATGACCTGGTGATCGATCATTCAGTGGATGGCAGAATGACCCAAACTTACAACAACACTGTAAACATTGGTGACCACAGAAAGAGACATTTAGTGGGGATTTTTTTTTTTAATGAACAAATACAGAATGGGTTATCAAAGAAAAACAAAAAGAAAAAGCAAGATACAATTATGAAAGGAAGCAACCCAGAGGCCATCCTTGGTCATAAACAGGATACAAACCAGAACCTCTGTTAAAGAAAGAAGTCAGAATGCTGCTGAAATGTACGGGGTTGTCCTTCCGTCAGCGAAGACGGACCATCAGGCTCTGTGCGGGGCGCCGAGCTGAGTTTCAGCTGGTTATGGTCACCACAGCTCACAAAGAACATGGAGACACTGCTTAGTACAGAAAACAGTAAAAACAAGGCTAAGGATGATCAAACGTGAATGCAATGCTGAAAGGAATTGGGATGTTTTTGCCCACAGACAAACGGAGGCTTCTGTTTAATACAAAACATGGGACTACAGAAAGGATATGTTTTAAGTCAATTAACAAGTGCCACGAGGGGCCCAACTAAAGGTTCTTGGATACTCAGAAGAAAAAAATTACTGTTAGCATCTTATCCAGGGAACCATAGACTGCCCCGCCAGGGGACTGTCGATAAAATTCAGAAGGCTTATGAATTAGTATGGGGGAAAATTAACATCTTTATTTTAACTAACCTCTTATTGGAACTTAGCATTTCCTACAATTATGAACGTAGGCAATGAACTCCAGTAGAATTAGCAGTACCTGTGACTTCATCACCAGGAAAGCATGATAAATATTTTCATATTGCATTCCTGTCCCTGTAAAGATAAATTTACACTCACCTCGTCTTGTAAAATACAGTGCTTAGCTTCTGAGAATGATGGTTGAACAAAAATTGAATTTAGCCTCTCACCTTTCACAACTAAAACTCCAGACAACATATATGAAACAGTCGTGTCCAGACACTGGACACCAGGACAGTGAAGACCATGAACGTGGCCCTTGCTTACTGCCTGGAGAGCTCCCAGGCCACCGTAGAGAGATGGGGGACATAGGTCTGCCTGCATTGAGGAGCTAAAGATTCAGGGATGCCAAGAAGCTGGAATTTGCAAAGAGGACTGGAAGGGGACAGCTGCTCAGGCAGCAAATCCTGGAGATGTGCAGAGGTTCCCTCTAGAGTCTTCAGCTGAGTCATCATCAACTATGCCTGAGGAAACTACCTGAGGCCAGGAAAGAACCTTCCAGAGGCTCAGAGGGAACAAAAACTGGAGCTCACACTGGCCCCAAAATGTTCCTTCTCCCATTAGCCAGAGTGGAGCAAGTTAGCCCTGGAATAAGTGATGCACTCATCCTGCTTAACAATGCTTAACAGCAAGCCTCAAAAGCAGGGGTGGGCAGATTTTTGTGTGAAGGTCCAGACAGTAAATATTCTCAGCTCTACAGGACATATGGTCTCTGTCGCAATGACTCAACTCTGCCATGGTAACATGAAAGCAGCCACGAACAATATGGAAATGATTGATAGTGGCTATGTGCCAATAAAACTTTATTTACAGGCACTGAAATTTTGATTTAATATAATTTTCACATACTACAAAATATTATTCTTTGGACTTTTTTAACCATTTAAAAATATAAAATCCACTCTTAGCTCATGAATCATACAAAAACAGATAGGGAGTCAGGTTTGGCTCCCTGGGCTGTAGTTTACTCACCTCTGATCAAAAAGATTGTACTGTCTCTAATTAACTGTGTCCCAGAACAAGGCCCAAAATATTTAAAAGAATACCAGAAATAAAGATATAAGCAAGGGAGGGAGGAAAAGAGATAAGCAAAAAGAAATCTAGCACAGAACAATGTCAAATTTACAATGCCTGATTGGCGTCCAATCAGAAAGTTCTAAGCATGCAAAAAAAAGTGGGAAAATATGACTCATGATGAGGAG